CAATGAGAAACGTATGCTTGTTTTGGGGCTTGGACTTGAAACTGCCGACGCGGATAGAGATGTTTTCTTTGCCGTCATTGACCTCGTGCTGCAATGCATCTAATGAGCCAATAAGGTGGCCCAATGACATGATCAACTCTATGCCAGGAACTACCACTTACCGAACTATATCCTCAGCATCATCCCTACGTCGCATGAGCTGCACGCACGGGTCCTGCCTCGCGAGTATTAGGTTGGTGAGACGTCTTCGTTCCATTCTAGTGAAGCCCACGAATACCAGTCTTCCAAGGACCGTGAAGGCCCCACTGAACAGAGCCTGGACCAAATCGTTCTCGTCAAACCCGGGGATTTTCCAGTTTTCCGTGACAGCGACGGTCAGATCATGGACACGCAAGGGCCCCTCCATTCTCAAAGTTGTAATGAAGAGCGCAAAACCCCAGCGACGTCGAACTGCCGTCTCATGGTTCTTGTCACCAAGTGAAAGCACAAGCGATCCAAACGTTCTTTCTTTATCGCACTCAATGTCGAGACAGATGAATCCTCTACGCTTATAAATGCATCGATCCAGCTTCAAGGGGACACTTTTGAGGTAATGCACGGTAGAGCCTCCGTACTCCTTGAGGACAAGCCTGCTGTATGCAAGCGAATAGAAGAAGACCAGCAAGGCTTCATGGAAGATCTGATGAGAGGTCAGGAAGATAGCGAGGCCCGTTGTCGTCTGTGCGAATTCCTCCAGCTCCACGGTGCTCCAGTTGTGCGGGAATAGGCATTCCCATATTTTTAGTCTGACTTCCAGGGGGAGACGGTACAGGAGACACTTCGACATTGGCTGTGGGTCAAACCGAGCTACTTTCAGCATCTTAGTGATCTGTTCATTGGCTACCTCACGGTACTTCGGCTGCTTGTCATGTTCTTCGAAATCACTAACAGCCCCCGATTCTTTGTCGTACAAGGGCTTGACAAAACGAACTACTGGTCTTGCCGGCGTCCGATGTTAGCAGCGAACAAAGTCCGAGATTGAAAACAAGACGAGCACGACTTACCCACGATTTCTGGGGTCATGGCGGTTGTGCTCTTGCACCAGACTCTGATACAAGCCTTGGCTCTCAAGAGCTCCTGACGGAACCACTCCCGCCATGTCATCAGGTGAACGAAGATGTGCGAGAAGTTTGGAGATGTTGTTTGATTCTAGATCAAGCAGCAAACTTGAGGGCAAAGCTAGATGCAAATATTGGCAGAGGGGGCCATCTGTGCTAGTCGGGAACACCGTGGTCTGGAGCAGCTGTGCATGGCCAACTGCTTGCATGTGTCTTATTAGCCAAACGCAATCAAACATAAGTTGCTGGTAGTGAATGCTTCCACATAGTTAATACTCTGAGTTGTAGACCCAGTAAATTACAGCTCTAAAAATATCCCCGTTTCCTCTCACTATAAATACTTAGCAGATATCCTGCATCCTTTTGCCCTGTTGGTGCATTGGGGGTTTCAACTGGTGCTCTCCCAGCCCAGCCCGTCTCGGTCACGTGCCAACTGCCAGGATCCCAGGGTGTGAAGTGAACCTGCACTTCCTCTCTCCTAACAACCTCCTCCAAATCCAGTCAAACTTCTTATTTCCTAACTGTAAGACTTCTTGCTTAGTTATCGGGTCATTTGTTTGATGAATACAGCGTTGCGCCTATTTTGTTGCGCTGGAGCATCTCTAGCGTCGGCCTGATAAACAGACAACCTCCGGCACACACTACCATCAGGCCTTTATTTATTCCGCTAGTTGTTACCGACTCATCCCCTCTTTACCCTCACTATCACTCTATCCTCTTTCTTGGATCTATTATCTCACTCATCGTACCTTCTGGTATTAAAGAATTATTCAATATGGCTCCACATGAAGGGGAGCGCCAGTTTGAGACATTTGATCTAGACTCTGAACCCGATCAGCGTCGCAGCTCCGAGAGACAGGTTGTCGATCTTACAGCAGAGTCCGATTCAGATGACGTCGTACCCATCTTTCCGAAGTCGCGGTCCGTAATAGGATCTGACACTGATGATGAGGCGGGTGATGATGATCAATACGATGAAGATTTGAAGAGAGCTATCGCGCTCTCGTTACAAGAAGCTCAAGGAGGCTCGGGAGAATCCTCCAGTCCTCTGCAACTTAGCGACTCTGAGAAAGCCGAGACCCAGGGCACTGAATCTCCCTCAGTGAAAGAGGTCGAAGAGAAGACAAACGACCAAGAACCTGCTAAGTCCATGGGTATCTTTGGTCTCGATCGAAAGCAGATGGAGCAAGAGCGTCTCGCACGACTTGCTAAGAGAAAGGCCGAGGATACTAGCTCCATTGATCTCCGTGAGACTAAGCACTCGAAGATCGACTTAGCTCCAAAGCCCACTGTCCAACCCACTGTGGCCACTAAAGGTACGATTATGTCTGCATCACAGCCTACAAGCTCTAGGTCGATCCCATCTACTTCACCGTCGGTTCAATATCCAGAGGGTATTGTCAAAAAGACATGGGCCTTTGGATGTCCCCGGCAAGGGGACGATATCAAGATTGAAGAGGTCTTGCAGAAGTCTGATTTAGAGCTTGCCGTTTTGAGCTCGTTCATGTGGGAGATGGATTGGCTGTTTAGTAAATTCAACATTGAGAAAACCCGTTTCATGATGGTCATGCAAGCCGAGGATGAGGCTACAGTGAGTATTCTCCATTGTCTATTGCACCCTGGAATCGAGCCTTGTCTAGAACAAACTAATCACCCGGGAAGAAACGTCAGTACGAATCAGAGACGGCTACCATGCGGAACTTGCGGTTATGCTTCCCACCAATGGGTGGGCAGGTCGTTTGCATGCACTCAAAGTTGATGCTGCTCTTCCACCCTGGATATCTTCGCCTCGTGGTACCGACAGCCAATCTAACCCCATTTGACTGGGGTGAGATGAACGGAGTCATGGAGAATGTAATAAGCACAAGAGCGTCTATCCCTGGAGAACCCCTGCTGACACACCTCTAGAGCGTCTTTCTCATTGACTTACCGAAAAAGAATGGCGCCGAGAAGCCAACAACCCATTTCTACGAAGATCTGGTTCATTTCCTCGAAGCCAGTACTCTTCATGAGAACATCATCGCTAAGCTTGATGGCTTTGACTTTAGCAAAACATCGAAATATGCCTTCGTTCACACCATGTATGTCCCCTTTTGCTACTAGCCGCATCGATATATCTAACCGTCCCAGCGGTGGCTCTCACACAGACATGGCGTGGAAACGAACAGGCTACTGCGGCCTAGGTCGCGCAGTGGAAAGACTGAACCTTCGTACATCCGTACCACTGAACATCGACTTCATCGTAAGCATCTACCCTTTGCCACAACCATCTGCTACATGCTCACAAGTCAAGGCTTCCTCCGTTGGAGCTATAACAGACCAATTTCTCCGCTCCTTGTACCTCGCTTCACAAGGTAGACACATTCCCATATTCCTTGTCCCTACCCATAGACCCGATAACTAACACCTAAATCTCTCTAACCCAAAGGCGACGACGGCCTTACCGAATTCACAATCCGCTACGCCAAATCATTCCCAGTCCCCCGACGCGACGACCCCTCCAAACTCCTCAAGAAAGACACGGGCACCGAATGGAAGGACCGATTCCGTCTCTACTTCCCCTCCCAGAACACCATCGCAACATCAAAAGGTGGTCCTCGCTGCGCAGGCACCATCTGCTTCCAGTCAAGATGGTACAACGGCGAGAACTTCCCACGCCATATACTCCGAGACTGTGAAAGTCAAAGAAAAGGCTTGTTAATGCATAACAAGGTGCGTATACCACCCTACCCCCTTCCTCTTCCCCTACAAATCCGATAACGCTAACATCCCACCCCACACTCAACAACAGATCCTCTACATCCGCCCCGACGAACCCATCTCTCTATCAGAAACAGCCCAATGCCGCGCGTGGGCTTACGTCGGAAGTGCCAATTTATCCGAAAGTGCCTGGTACGTATTTCCTCATACATACCACATTCATACTTAAAACCTTCGATTTCACCCATCCCAACACCCCCTAACTCATGTACCTCTCTTACAAACAGGGGCCGCCTCGTCCAAGACCGCTCAACAAAATCCCCCAAGCTGAACTGCCGAAACTGGGAATGTGGCGTAATAGTCCCCGTTATCGAAGACAAGACGGATACACCAGAAGTCAAGGATAAGATATCCGAAGATAAAGATAAAGGCGAAGGCAAAGCCTCTGAATCATCATCATCTTCATCGTCAACCAATAATGATGACGACGGGACAAACCTCCCCGCTGTATTCGGGAATACTGTTCCGGTTCCGATGCGGGTGCCGGGGGCAAGGTATAGTGGGGGGAGGAAGCCGTGGTTTTTTGCGGAGAGTCAGAGTTGATGTTGGACCCCAGTTGTAGTGAAGAGGAAGGTGTGTGTTCTGGATGTTATTCTTGATAGGGATAAGGAGTTTGTCATATTTGTGGGTAGATGTATCTGCAAGACATTTATCGCGGTTGATAGTAAGAAATATGATCTAACCCAATCTGGTACACATTCCCTACTATTAGTACTACTCCTAGCGAGGATAACAAAGAATAGTTCTATAGAATAATATGCATTATGTACCTATTATGGATCAAAATATAACCCAAAATAATAGAAAACAACATGAAGAAAAGGCTTGATCAAAAAGCCAAGCCTAGTACCCGACAAACACACACGCTGATGCATCTCTATCTATCTGCATGATAATATAAACCAAGAAAAAAAAAAAAATTGAAATCCGAACCAATGTGCTTTTCTCTATCCTCCTCCCCCTGCTGCTTCATATCGTATCTCAGGCCACATAGGCCTGTATATATCTTTTTTTAAGAATAATTTGTATTTTGGTTTGTTTTTACTTCGCCCATGAGTATCACGGGAGTGAACGACTCACGCAGCAGCATCCATCAAACAGACGAATGCTGTGGCTGTGATAAACAGTGGCAAAGCCTCAGCTCTACACCTTGGGTGATCTCACAAACAGCTTCTTGATGCTACCGAAGAACATTCCCAGCGCAGCGAAGACGTAGCCAAGTCCAAAAGACCAGCCACGGACACGCACGCAGTAGATCATGAAGTAGACCAAGAACCAGTTAATGATCACATAGGCGAGGAAGATACCAAAGCAGCGCCACTTGTCGCCATCGTGCACATTGAGGGTGTGCATGTACTGGGAGCCGTTGGCGTAGGGGCAGTACTGGCAATCCGAGGTGGCGTTGGGGTTGGAGAGGTAACCGACGCCGGCACTCGAGACCCAGTCGCTGGCGTACTGAGAGCAGGTTTGGCCGGGGGGAGGGTTGAAGTGGGTGGTTTCCGAGGAGGCGCATTCGATGTCAACAGTGGGGAAGACGCTCGAGATGACACCGCGGAGCCACCAGGTGACCGGGTTGACGTAGTACATCCAGTATTTCCAGAACACGGGGTACGCAGAGTAAGGACGGACGACACCGTTGAACAGGCCGGTCATGACGAAGAAGAAGGGAAGGGTCTGGTGAATGTATTAGTTGTTTGCTTTGGTTAACTCTGAAAACGGAATAACTTACGTTGGAAATGACGGTGAAGGACGGAGCAAAAGCACAGATCCATTGACCCCAGCTGGCCTGGAACAGGAAGAAAAGCACGGACATGAGGAAGACGTATCCGGCATTACTCGAGTCCGTAGGGAAACCGGCCGGGTAGTACCACAGCAGCCAGTAGATCAGTCCGGAGATGATAGCCATTGGGATTTCGCAGATGATGTTGGCCGTGCAGAATGCGATCCATCCGTAGATACGACTGGGGTACTCGCGAGCTTCCCAAAGTGCCCGATTGATGTAGAACTTGGGGACCAAACTGTTCAGAACGATAGGCGGGAGGAGAATAATCAAGAAGATCGAGAACATCCGGTCCTGCATGCTAGAGATGGTGTTTCCAAGCATCCAGAAGGTCTACATGGATTAGTAACTGTGCATTGAAGGGCTGAGCCAAGGGTACTTACAAAACCGTTGAAGATACCAATGATGACACTGACGAAAAGCTTTCCATAGTAGTAAGAGGGATCTCTCCAGTACTGCCTGAAAAGTCTCATCATGAGGAGGTAGGTTTGGGTCGTAACAGGAGCAGCGAATTCGTACGGCACGCCCTGCTCATCAAGCGGGATCTTGCTGCGCTCCTCTCTGATGGTCTTGATCTCGTCCAGGATCTTTTGGTTCTGCTCCGAGTTCCTCCATTCCTCGTTCCAGTCAAAGCTCTTGCCATCCTTCTTGGTCGCCTTAGCCGCCGTCTCAAGAATGAACTCGGCGACGTTCTTCGAAGGGGGACAGACAACACCGCGGTCGGCGAAGTACTTGATCACGTCGCGTCCTTCATGACCGACCGGGCCGAAGTAGAAAGTGTTACCGCCAGGGTTCAGAGCCAAGATCATGTCGAACTGTTGAATCAGCATGGACGAAGGCTGGTGGATCGTACACACGATAGCCTGTCCGGCTTGAGAAAGCTTTTTCAAGAATCGCACGATGGAAAAGGCCGCTTGACTGTCCAGACCGCTAGTGGGCTCGTCGAGGAAAAGAAGAAGACTGGGCTTGGCAGCCAGCTCGACACCGATGGTGACGCGCTTCTTCTGCTCGACGTTGAGGGAGCCAATGATGGCATCCTGAATTTCCTCGAGTTCCAAGAGGTCAATGATCTGGTTGACGTAGGCAAGCTTTTCCTCATCCGGAGTGTTTCTGTCCTGACGAAGCAGCGCGGAAAATTCGAGAGCTTCGCGGATGGTAGCGGTATTGTCATGGAGATCCATCTGCTCACAGAAGCCGGTGCCTCGCTGGAAGTCGGTGCCCAGAGGATGACCATCAACAAGCATGTCGCCAGTGACCACACCCATTTTCTGACGCTGAGCCAGAGTGTTCAGGAGCGTAGTCTTACCAGCTCCGGAAGCACCCATCAGGGCAATCATGAGTCCGGGTTTAGCATAGCCGTTGACACCATTGAGAAGCTTCCTTGTGCCATTGCCGTAGGGAACCGTATATTCAACGTTGGACCAGGTGAAGACGCGGTCGCTAGATGAGATGCGGTTGAACGAGTCGCTGTTGCTGTTGGACTGGGCCTGAACACCAGCGCCCTGGGTCTTCTCTTCGTCACTTCCCTTGCCGCTCTGCGCCGTGAGCTGCTTAGCACGCTTGGAGCGCTTGAATACCAAGGCACCACCGCCACCACCGACGAACGACAGAAACTCGGCAGCAAAAACGGTCACCAGGATGTAGAGCACAGTGAAGGCAATGACGACACCGAAGTTACGCCACATGTGATGGCGGGTGAACTGGTAGGCGGTCTCGATGTAGTTGGAACCCGAAACCTGCGTCTGCCCGAGCTGAGAGCCGGTGAGAGAGCATCCCTGGTACCTGGGATCCAAGTCAGAGCCCTGGGGGACCAACATCGATGAGGCGCAGTCCATGAGTCGACCAGCAAACTCGTTGGACAGAACGGCTTCGTAACTGTAAGACAACGGGTTGACGTAGAAGAGCCATCCGAACCAGATCGAACCATCGATGAGAGATTGCTTGGGGATGACATAGCCAACGAACAGGATCAATACGTTAAGCGCGATACCACTGAATCGGACAGCGTCGTCAATCGATGGCGAGAGCGCAGCGAACATGCGATACATGGACGTGATGCAAAACGTCGTCGTGTACACGAAGAGGAAGTAGATCCAGAACTTGGAAGCGGTCACGTCGAGTCCGGACATGAAGTAGACGATAATGGTGAAGGGAACGACCATGCAGAAGATGGCTGGGAAATCCACAACCACACGAGCGATGGAAACAGCCGACGGACGGTAGAAGGCGTAATCCTTGTGACGGGCAACAATGCCACGACCACTGACCGCCGGCATCAGTTCCGTCAATTGCAACCAACCCAAGAACAGAATCGAGAAGAACAGAGCACCACCACGAGAGAAGGCGCCGCTGGTATTCAACGATTCACCGTAGAACAAGGACGAGACAATCAAACCGTTAGAAAGAATGATAAAGTACTTGGTGTAGAGCGAGGTCTTGTCACCCCAGAGCAGCCAGAACTCACGACGCACACAGGCGGCAACCTGGCGGACCAGAGAAACGGTGTACGGCGACTTCTTGGACACGGTCTTACTCTTCGACTCGGCGACCGACTTCTGGAAGCGACGGGTGCTCTCCTGGTTGGAGTCTTGAAGCTGCTTCTCATATCCAGAAACATCGTCCAGGATACGCTGGTAGGCACTGCTTTGTCTGAACACGGACTCGAGCTCTTCCGCGGTCTTCGGAGTCGAAGCTTCCCGGCCGGGCTGGAATTGACGGGCGTTGGGGTCGCACAGGGAAGTCAAGAAATCGGCCGTGGTTGACTGTTCGGGGCAGTGGAAACCAAGATTCACAAAGTACTGTCTCGCCTCGTTGGCGGGACCTTGGTAGAGCATGCGTCCCTGGTCGATCACCAGCACCTTGTCCATGAGTTCGTAGATGCTCTCACCGGCCTGGTACAGGGTGACAAACGTGGTCCGCTTGCTGATGTCGGTCATGATGCGCAGGGACTTGGCGTAATCCAGGGCGGTGCTAGCGTCGAGACCTCTGGTGGAGTTATCCCAGCAGACGACGGAGGATTTGGTGGCCAGCGTCTCCGCGATACTGACACGCTTTCGCTCTCCACCGGACACACCGCGGACATACTCGTTGCCGACCACGGTGTTCTTGGTGTGCGAGATACCGAACATCTTCAACAAAGCATCGATGATGATCGGGATACTCTCCTTGTCGTGCTTCTTGGTCTTGTTAATGAGGGAAAACTTGAGGGTCTGCCAAACCGTGAGGTTGGGGAAGTGCTGGTCATCTTCCTGGTTGTAGTTGACCTCACCACGGAAGTGCTTATGCTGCTCCTCCGCGGACATACCGCCGTAGCTGATCTCACCCTCGACGCCGGCGAAGGCTTCTCGGTCATTGGCGATGGTCTTCAGGAAGGTGGAGCAACCGGCACCAGGTCTTCCCAGCACCAGCATCATCTCACCTTCCCGCACAGCACCAGTGAACTCGTGAAGCAAGTCTCTCACGGGGGGCTTGCGACCAAAGCGGAGTTTGGGGGCGAATTTGCAGACAATGTTGTAGAGATCGGGTCCAAAGGTACCGATGACGGCGTCCGGAAGGGTACGCACAAAAGACGCACCCGTCTCGACACCCTTCACGGTGACGTCCTTGAACACCACACCCACCTTCTTAGCGGGTTCGCCTGCAGTCGTCCGGCGTTCGAGGTGGCCGCCCATCAAAAACTCGCTGAGGTCGAAACCGCCATAACCGCTGTCCGTGGTGCCGGACAAGTCGTCGTCGTCGTCTTCCATAGCCTTCTCCTCATCGCGCGCCTGGCTTGCGCGCGAGCGCAGTCGCTGAGCTTCTCGAGTAGCGGAACGGGTTTGGTGCAAACTGAGGCGGGTCAATTCTTTGCGCATTTCCTCGAAATCCTCCATGGCGCCGCGACGAGAGACAGGCTCCTCTTCCTGTTCTCCCCAACGGCCATCAGCAGATAGGTCGGTCTCGCTAGTTGACTGGGAGGTTACGGTTTGGTCGGAAGCGATGACGTGGGAGCTTTCTTGGGCGTAGGAATGCTCCTGGGTTATAGTCGGGACATTTTGCAATGCATCCGGCTGACGATGTTCGTCAGCCATGGTGGAAACTGTGGCGCCTGTCGTCAGGCAAATTCCGAGGGAGGGATCTGCAAGTCGGACGTAAGGTGGTGGTGATATCGTAGGCTACCAACCGAGTGGCGCAAAACAAATCGGCGAACCCAGGAAATTTTTGAAGATGTGAAACTCCGATCGAAGAAAGGAGAACGGGGAAAGGATAGGGATAATAAATAGATATTAATAGGTAATGCCACGAATACGAAAGGCAAGGGATGTTATCAACGTTTAGCTGGAGTATGTATGGAAGATATGTACAGCCAAAGATAAAGGCGATGATTAGTGCAGTTAGGGGGGGGATGTAGAGGGTTGATGCGGCACGGAACTGGGGCGCTCCAGGAGCTCCAGCACACGCCTTGAGAGGAGTGGAGATTGGGGTGAGGGTGGAGGAGGAAAGAAAGAAAGACCGTAACCGACTCAAAGGGAGAAAGAAACAAGAGCTATCCACTGACACTAAGGAGGGGGGGGAGAAAGATAATAAATAAGTCAGTGGAGGAGGGGAGGACGTTGCATCACGGGTATAAACGATATTGGCGGCGCCGGCGTTATCAGACGTTAACGCCGCGGGACCACTTTGGAGAAAAAAAAATATTCATTAGGGAAGAACTGGAGAAAGACAGGCAAGATTGAAGACGGATTTGTCAGGCTTGCAAACGAGCATTGACAATAGACTCGGCTTGTAGCCATGCCAAATGGACCCGAAACGGACCAGGGTCCATATCCGTGGCGGCGACGACAAGCAGACGGAATTAACCAAGCAATCAGAGAGCGTAGAGAGACGGAAGGACCAGGTAGCGGAACTAAATCGAAGGAGTGGATTTGCTGACAATTGGAACTGCAGCAAGAAGGCGATGGAAAGCTGGACATTCCATCGGGTGAACTGCGGTGGGTCTTTTTTTCATCTTGTTCTTCTTTTTTACTCATGAGTCAAGATGAGGTCCACGGATGTCAGTTTCTAGAAATGTGATTGGTCACGGGAGCCATGGATTCAGGGGTCGGCTGGACCCGAATGGCTCTGGAAGCGGAAGGAGCGACGCGGATTCAGCGAGGGAATTCATCTTCCAGGCGCACTTTCCTCGTTTTGACTTTGGTGTTTGGATTGTTTGTTTGGGCTGCTTGTCATCATTCTTAACGGTGGGTCGGAGATAAGCCTACTTTTCTCTTACTTCCACTTACTTCCTGTCCAGCGTTAAGTTTTAAACATCTGAAATTTCGAAGCGGGGTCTCTTTTCGGTTAGTCCGAAACAACCTCGACTCGATTATTTCCTCTTCTGCTGCTGCTGCCTATCTCATATAATAAGACAATTAACTCATCATCCTGGAGTTTGTCCTCGTCATCATCCATCATCCATCATCCATCATCCTTCTCTTGGCATAGGAAGCTGACTCTTATTATATTATTAATCACAGTCACTACTACTTAAGTACTGAGATTAATTGTGATCCATAACAAGGCTCTGTCTGACATGAGCTCATCTAGTTAATTAACTATAAGTAGTAATTGATATACGTAGATATTTATCTGGACGCCTGATGTGTACTTCTGAACTGGGACGCAGGGGAGCTTCCAGTAATTTCTACTAACGTGGGTACTGTTTACTTTTTTTTGTGATACCAAACGGATATTATTACTATAATTATTGCTATCATTATTAATCAATCATTGAGGGTGACGATCTCTCACATTCTCACTCTTACACTCTCGGTTCTGAGCTCAATCGGCACTACTCCGGAACGGGGTCCCCGGCACCCTCGAGTCAGCCTGCCGACCATCTCCCTACCAAACCCAGTCAGTCAACGATTCAGTCAAGTGGGTTTGGCCACAGGCTCGGAACCGACTATGGAGTAAGCCTGCTGCTTGTTGCTGCTCTTGCTTCTTGCTGCTGCTGATTCTGCAAGTCCAGCCACAATTACAGCTCGAAGTTGCACGATCGCTCTCTTTAAAAAAAAATTTTTATTTTTTTTTTTCCTCTTCCGCGTGCTTTTTCCGGCCGTGGCCTCTGGTTGGTTCTCATCTTTCCATGAAACAACTTGGGCAGGAGCTTGGACTCGATTAGCCACACCTGATTCACCAGGGACTGCCATGCCGTCCGGGTGCGATCTGTCAGATCTGATGGGTGCCGGTTCTCGCCCTACTCGTGTCGTTTCCAACTGGGATTCCGAGGCCTTTTCGGATCGCCTTGTGCTCTTGATTTCCCCTTCTTTTCCCTGTTTGCTCCGTTTCCTCCCATCACACCGCTTGGGCCTCACTCACCCCCTCCCCCTCCATCTCCCACATTTTCTCCTCCAAGCAACAACCCAACCACCATTTGGGCCACCAGCTGACTCCTTAGGATTATCGCCTACGGGCAACAACCTCACTTATCTGACCAATAATGGCCGTCCCCCCGTTCACTACGGTATCAGTCTAGCCCTTCCCTGCACGGATCGCCTCCACTCCCAAGCTCAAGCTCCCCATCTGGTTCTTGCTGAGCTTCCAGTGGACTAAGAAATATATACCTTTGACCTCTTTCCAGAGATTTCCCCCCCCCCCTAGGCTGATATTTAAACATTTCCCGCCATCACAACCTGTTTCCTAGGGTGGAATGTGCTATTTTCAAGCATGCGCTCGGAAAACTGAGCATCACACGGCACTGCACTGCATCGCCTACACCGGAGAAACTCCAGGCTGCGGGGTTTGGATGCAAAAGTCCACAGGTAATTAGCGCCAGTCATGGATCTGTGCATGTGCTCTTCCAGTGGGAACTCGAGTATAGCAGCGGCAACCTCGGACGGATCCATGCACACTTTGCGGTCAGCTCAGGCAGCTACGCAAAGCGCGGGGTGGCTCGTAATTTTTTTGGTCTCTTGCTTCGTTTTCACTCCTCGATTTCTGTGAGTATCTATCTATCTACTGTGGCTTTCTTCATGCTTAGTGGCTCCCTGCACCTGGACGCAAAATTGCGACGCCAGCCTGCACGTTGCTCGGTGAGAGTGCCTAGTTGGCACTAGCCCCAAGTATGCCCGGTCACTCTAGGCCAGGGTCCGCGGTCTTTCGCACCACTGCATCTCAATCCAGCCACTACTATCTTCCACGATCCAGCCTGCCCGGCTGCTAGCCACCCGCCAATAGCTTTCCGTTGCCTTTTATATTCTTGGCGTGGAACTGCCTCTGCGGCTACCGGTGACACAATCCGGTTTCTTTGGAACAGTTCACCTGGCGTTATACCCTCGTGTCGATGTTATGGTTTGGCGTGTCTTGAATCGACGTATCCCGTCTATCTGCATCATCTGACGAATTAGCATGCGCTCTGAATGTATGGTGGTTGATGTCCAAGCCGCGAAACCGCCAGATCCACGTGTTCGACGAAGGGTATAGGCTGGTCGTGTAACCGAGTCTCCTTCCGGAGCAAAACTGTCTTGTCCGCTGTCGATGTGATTCTCAAGTAAAGTCGCATTGACCAACAATCCCTGCTTTCTTTCAACTTCGGATAGCACGGCTATATGCATAACCTGCAGGGAAGTACCCCACAATGGCGTTGCTCTTTCGGCATCCGTTGCCGGTTCACCCCCAACCAAATCCCGATTGTCGTGTCTATGAGGCTATGGCATCGCTCTTGTGTGGAACACAATGCAGGATTGAGCTACTGTAGTAGGAAACAAACCATGCTGTGTCGTTGCCATCAGATCTAGTTGCCAATTGAAATGAAGCGGATCGGTGCAACAATCAGTACCGAGTATATCTTTCGATGCATGGAGTTGGACGTGTTAGGGCCAGCTCCTCACTGACCAACAAGGGTGATCGAGTGCTGTCAATCACGAACCCTTCGTGCTAATCAAATGCTACTAGCCCGTTGCTAGCTTGTCTTTGGGATGGATCGACACGAGCTTAGTCCAGCTACACACTACTTACGAACCAGCATCGGTCAATCATGAACCTGAGTTACCCTGCTACGCTTCCATCTTCTCACTCAGTGTATTATAGTCCTGCATGGTGGCTGGACTGGGCCTTGGTAGTCTAGACCGGACACGAGACGACGGTATTATATTTAGGGAGAATGAATCTGTAAGCAGCGGTCTGTACACGTATTCCACGGCCAAAATGCCTCATTGAAATAGACCAATGATGGTATTCTCTCTCATGACGGTAATGGCTTGTAGTCGAAGAGCCTGATACGGATTTCCAAATGCTGCCCAAGCAACACTTCCTCAGGTCACAGTCGGCCTGGAGCAGGCCGTCAGGAATTGCAGCTGATTCTATTGTCAGACAATTTCATCAAAATTGGGTATTGCAAGTTTATTCTGTCTGCTTGGTAGTTTGCCGTGAACGAACCTTGTTAGTTATAGATCACGATACACGCTAGTCATGAACTGTAGTTGAGTCTCATGGCGATGCCTCCCTCTATCTACCTATGATCCACACGGTGACTCAAACCAACAGGTTTTCAAGCAGACACTGGATCTCTTTAGATCGCAAGATCAGACCTAATAACTGGATCTTGCGGTGGATAGCATCAACTGGATCTCCTGATCGTTGTAGCAGCTGATAGCGATGCGACTACTATAGGAGCTGGATATCTGGATTAGCGCTGTTTTAGTAGCGATTAGTAGAGATCAACCTGCGGCCCCTTGCATAGTCTGAGATCAGATAGATTAGCCGTCTGATAATGGAGATATTGAAGCGCAGTAAGAAGTTCCGGGGGCAATGGAAATAAGGTTCCCGTGACTGGATCCGCCTCCATCATTCGTTCCGACTCCACAACTACTCATTTTCAACCATCCTCCATGCTGCCTCCCCTTCCCTCAACTCATCACCTCCGTCGAGGTCAGTCTCTCATCGAAAGACCCTTTTCTTTCACCTGACAATGGTCTTCGTAATGATCGCTGTCGACTGATTCTGCTCCTCTTGGCGCCCGCGACCCATGCGGCCATCGCAGACTTCCAGCTGACCCGCGCCGCCTCTCTCACCTGATATAACCTCGTCCATCTGTCGACTCGTTTGTCGT